TGCTAAGGAACAAATTTTTTATACCATTATAATTCATATTGTGTCGAGTGGATAAGGTTTTATTTAATACTTTATATAATTTATTAATCGCCATWTTTTAAATACAGCTATAGTTGGTTATAATTTTGAATTAATTTTTCCACATTTATAATGTAATGGTGTAAGAAAATAAATAATATTATCTATGTTAACTTCTGGATAAAAAGAAAAAAACTATGTTAACTTAATAAATACAATTGTTACATTATGTATCTTAAAAGAAAAAAATTAGTTAAATTATGTTAATTAAACTTATAATTTAAATCTTCTACCTGAGAATGAATAACAAATAAAATAAAATAAAATATAAATACTTTGTACCTACTATCGAGGTAGAGTATTTCATTTTCACACATATATTAAAGAAAAAGTGTTTATTTAATGAAAATATGACATGTTTATTTATTTTATATATGAGTAGTGGGGTGGGTTTGAATATGATATTAATTCTTACCTGAATTATATCTTAGTATAAGATTTGAGATGCAAAGAAGACAAGAGCATTGATGTATGGTGAATCCCAACCACTGAGATTGCTTCATTATTTAATCAAATACAGCTATCTATCATCTATCCAACATTATATTAAAAAAAAAAGTAATAATAATAAAATCCCTGCCCACTCTCTCCTTGCAAATATTTTCCCAAATTCCATACTCCAAGTTTTTGCATCTCTTCTTCCTAAATTATTATTTATTTTTTGCTTTTGTAACAATCTAGGTCAAACCTGTACCATACTGCATTAAATAAATTAGAGCCCCCACTATACTTTTTTTTTTTGTTTTTTCCGAAAACATGAACAYTTTTAATTATAAATTTATAAATTCATAAGATGTGTTATTGTCTATTTATTTATCTCTTGACTTGAAACGTAAAAGTGTTTATTGCAGAAAAAAAATCACTTAAAACTACTATTAACGAAAATCATCCCAAATGTAATCTTGAATATATATAAACTATAAATTAATTTTGGTTTAGTCTGTGGAAATTAGCTGATATGTTTATTTATTTTTTTTTATTATACAAAAATCTAGAGTACCCACTTTCTTTACATAGATATCCAAAAATACCTAGATATCAAAGAGGTAAATATAATGGAGAAGWCTGTTTTGGAATTTGATGGGAAGAAGATTTTTAAAAAGTTGCATAGATGTCACGACATCATGTTATATGTTGAAATTGAAGTAATAAAATACATTAATACAATGTCTAGATTAGATGCGAACACAGCGCGATAAAATATTACCAAACAAATTGTTATTATGTCAAACAATCAATTTTGTACCTGTCATTCGACGTCGTAGCAAATGAAAAGATCGATTTTACAAGGTTAGGACTTGTCGTGCTGCATAATGGGACAAATTTACCTTAGGAATAAAAGGTGACGAAGTAGTATAATTTAACTTTAAACCAAATAGAGATCATATAAATGATACGAGCATAGCTACATGTAAAGGTCAAAAATTAAAAAATTTCACCCTGGTTTGTTAAATAAAAAGATCATATAATTTGTACTTGTAATTTGTTCTTGGTTTCCTATTAAATTTTCTTCTTCACTCTGGATRGTTCTCATAATTGGAAATAAAACAAAACTTTTACTGATGTTGATGATATACTTTATTATTAAATTGCTCACTTTAAAACATTACATTATACTAATTTTATTCCAATAATTAATTTATTAAAAGGTTCTTTCAACTTTGAATTATTTTATGGATGGTAAAGTAATTCATAAACATGATCTAAATAAATAACAAAAATATATTCAACAAATGATGGTTGTCACTGATCAGCCTCCCTTTTTCATGGGCAAAAATTAAATAAAAAACAGAATAATTAAATTAAAAAAAAAGTAAATGATTCACATTACAACTATCATAATCTTATTCAGCATCATAACAAGCATGAATATAATTCATAGTCTTTTTTGGTATGGCCAAGTTCCCATTTTATTGACATGACCCATAATTAAGAAATTGAGTGGTGTCTGAATGTTCTTGACTTTTGAGTTTGGACATTTTTTAATGACTCAATATTTATTTATGTACAAGCATTTTAATAATGCAGGGTTAAATTGCAGTAAAGGATAAGTTTTATCTAAAAATTTAATAATTGTGTGAATTTAGTCCTAAATTTTTGTAGTTTTACCTAGTCCATAAATTTTAGATTTTCATTTTTTTTAATAATAAACTAGGTGTGCTGTTAATACTTAACATTGTTATGGGGAGACGAAACTAGACCTAACACGCGAATAACACACCAAGGTTCAAGGCCCAAAGCATGACCAGATTCAAGACATAACCACGTCCAAGACATAACCAGATCCAGAGCATGACCAGATCTAGGGTATGGCCAGATGTCGTGCATGACCAGATCTAGGACATGACCAGGTCCATAGTCCTGCCAGGTCTCGACTAACTAGGTTCGGCTAACCAAGTCTTGGTCAACCAGATCTCGCCCGTCCAGGTTCGACCAGATTGTGGCCACTGGCCAAGAACTTTGATGAAGCCCCTCCAATGGCCTTGTGAAGGTGGGCCCAAACTAATATGCCTCGGTGAAACTCAATTGCGGGCCACCAGCCCCTTGGTTCAACATCCAACCTACAACAAGATGTCATAGCCCATAAGGGTATGTTTACTAAGGATATCAGAATTCGACTTCTATAAATAGAACAGTAAGTTTAGTCCGATACGCTGAATAACCTACTCTCAATATTCGACTCATTTCGATTATAACTTAAGCATTAGAGTCTATGTGGTTAGCACCACACTGGTGTTTAGTGTTATTTTGTTTTGTAAGCTGACGTCCGTTGCCGCTTCATTATTAATTGGTGCGAATTTGGTGAAATCTCAAAGGGCATAAATTCTGCCTCAACAAGCACCTTTACTTAACATGTGTTAATTGCAAAGGATAGATTTGGCATGATGTTTGACATAAACAAGTAGATTAATGGAACAAAATAAAGGTATGCATCCCAAAAAGAATATATTTTAAACAATTTTCTTTTGGCCCACCCACGGATCCATACATTCTCTTTTGTCATTTATTGGTACGTATTAGTTGGAAGAAATTTGGCGACTTAACACATGTCAACGTATTAAGGGTTGAAAAGTGCTACGTCACCATAATAACTTAATTATCACTTCAATTCATAAATCTAAAGAGATGACGAATTAGTTAGGCCACATTCCTTTAGCCAAGCCGACTAATTACATCTTATAGTTGTACGTGTCTTTKTAAGGATTGAATTAACCAATATATAGATCTTAATGGTCGACCTTATTATAAAATGACGAGCTGACGATCACAACTCCACGTCATACTACTTTTAATTACCACTTTTTTCGATAACATGTCGCGAACTCTGAGCAGTTATCCCGTTGAATATGTGAGACCCATGGACTAAAACCTATAAATAGAGAGACTGGCTTCACTAGTCAGGTACACAAATCTTTTCCACTTATTTTAGTGTGAAGTTTTTGAGCATAGATCAACCTCCTTGGTTCCAGTTTCGCGAGATGATCTATTTCATGTTCAAACAATATCATTCCAAATCACTTCCTTACTAGTCCATTATTTTAATATTTATCAAAGTATATATTTCAAAACCAATTGATAATGAAAAAAAGATCCTAATAATTTTCAGGTGGGATGAATATTGATATTAAAATTATGATGCTAACGTCAAATATTTGTTAAAATCAAACTCTGAAAGTTGTAGATGTACTAGAATTCTTTTAAAAGTTTAAAGAATGAAAAGAACATGACGAAATTTAACTTAAAAAAATAATCATTAAACTAAGAAGAATTAATGAAAATTTCACCGAATCAAAACAAACAGTGCAATTGGGTTCAGATGGCATCCAAAATATTTTGTTATTTTATGACATTAAAAAAAACATTAGAAATGGTTTTGGATATTAAAATGAACCGAATGAGACAAATGAAATGATCAAATATTTATAAGAGGTGAAAAAGTCAAATGTAATAAATTCAGATCTATGAATTGCATTTATTTATCTTATTCTTGTCCTTGTAGATTTCTATCTCAAAAAGCCGTACATATTTTCAACTCACTTCCATGAAAATAATTTAACTTTTTTTAAAAGAAAAATAAATTTGATAATTTGCTTAATAGTGTTGGATGATGATTTTGTGTTTAATCACCATTCTTTTTTTTTCCTTTCTGAGAAATGCTTAATCAATCATTAAAAACTAACAAAGTAAAAAAAATTTAAGTTTTTAAAATTGACTAAAATCTTGAAATTTTAACCTACTTAACAAAGCAATTTTAAAAAATATACCCTAAAAAGAATATTCTCTCATAAAGTGCAATTGAATGTGAGTTCTGATTGTGGAAAGACATTAAAGTTTGTAATGTGATGGGAAGGTGAAGTAGTTTTGTTCATAAAGAGATTAGGTGGGAAATTAAGTGCTACCAATACCATTCCATTCACTACACAATCAGCCAATTCCCTCTTTATTTTATTCCCATTAATTAATTAAAGTTTCTCAACAACTATATTAGTATTTTATTTAGTTACCCTAATAAATATACCATGATCTAAATTAAATTCTTAACCAACAAGACAGTCTTTGTCGATATTTAGTATATGAAAATGACCTGAAAACCCGAAATTGAAAGAAAAATAAAAACAAAAACATGTAATACAAATTTTGATTTTCCTTATTTATCCAAAAGAGTGGGGTCCACCAAGGAGCTGTGGGGGCCATGTTTTTAAGGTCTCCGGTGGTTCACGGCCTCATCGGTCCGACTAGGATGAGGTCCATATCCAGTCGGACCAACCCGAGCTAGCCAGCGCATAGCGGGACACGAGCGTCATTTTCTTCAAACAATTGTGGGTTTTTGGTATTTTGAGTTTGCGGCATTGAACGAACTCGAAGGATTTTGTTTTTCTTTTGTGTTTTGGTGGGATTATTAAATATAATTTTTTTTGTTTTTATTTTCTGGAAAAGAATGGCTTCAGGAGTTGGCAATGTCCTACAAAACTCAGAAAAGCTCGCCCTCTGCGGCAGTTGAGCTGCTCCAATCCCCGCACCAAACTCTCTCTCTGTGGCAACTTGGCTCTTCTTTTTCCCCATTTCAGCTCCATTGCAGCTTCAATTTCACCGCGCTTCCGTTTTCCATCCGTAGCATTCACTTCGTGAAATGCAGAGAGGAGCTACGAGGAATTAGAGGAAGATGCCGCTGGTGAGGGTGCAGGTGAAGAGCGAGTTCGAGCTCGGAAACCCGGAGCTCTACAAGCAGGCAAACAATGAAGACCCAAAAGCTGTGCTCGACGGTGTAGCTGTTGCTGGCCTCGTCGGGATCTTGAGGCAGTTGGGCGATCTTGCTGAGTACGTTTCTTTGCTATTACCTGCCTTGCGCGTTTTAATCTCAAGTAGGGAATTAGGCCTTTCGCTTAGGTATTCATGTTTGTGGCTATTTCTTACGTCTCGTACTGTTTAATGAGGCTTAAATTAGTGGGAGTTAGAGGCCTCTTACAACGGGAAATTTCGGAAATATTGAGCAACACTTTGAAATCGATTGTTTCACTTATCTACTCGCGTGAGACTTGTTGTTCTTCCGTTTCTGATTCATTTGATGGAAGCTTCGGTTTTGTATCTTACTTGGGAAACAACTGTGGGAAGCAATAGAATACAGTCAAATCAGAATTATTTTTTTGGGATTTTAATTTTATATTATTTAATTTTATAAATCAGAATGTATTGATCTCCATAGTTACTGAGAGAGATCACCTACAGCATGACATAGTCAGTTGCTTCTAAAATAAACTCTAACGAAAGAGTTGTGAATAATATTTTTTGTTTTTTAGCTAGAACCAGTCATTATTTTTAGTTAAATTTACCAATTTAGTAGTTCAAATGATTAGAGAGGGGTCCAAAAGTAAGCCAAAGAACACCATATGGAACTTGGATCGTAGAGCTGTTATCTATTTCTACTTATTCTTTGCTTTCTAATTTGGTTGGATTGAACTTGTTGTACCTTACAGGGAAAAGTGAAGGAATGAATTCTGTTAAATCAGAATTGCGTTCTGCTCTTAATTATTGAGGGAATGATTTCACTGTTTGTTCTTACTTGGGTACTGGATGGGACGGATCTGTTGTTAACTTGTTGTTTCGTTTTTCTTTCTCTTTTTAAAGCTTAAAATAATTGACATACGTGCAATCTTTTATATGGTCATATAGGTTCACTTAAAAGTAGTGATAGACCATTAGAATTTCTTTGGAAAATAACAAAAGTAAAGCCTACAGTTTTCTGAAAGGTGACTGCTAGCTCTGTGTTGGTATCTATTCAGAGTCCTTGAAATAGGCTTTCGCTTGATTGTTCCTTTGTCCAATGCAAGTATGCTCTTTCTTTTTTAGTACAACAAGGGGTTGTGGGTGGGGACAATGCAAGTATGCTCTAAAAAACATTTAAACTAATGGGAATGGTATCATCTGTTTTGTTGTAGATTTGCGGGGGAGGTATTTCATGGGTTGCAGGAACAGGTGATGACAACAGCTTCTAGAAGCCACAAAGTGTTGGTTCGTGTCAAACAGATTGAAGCTGCACTTCCTTCCCTTGAGAAGGCAATACTAGCTCAAACAAGTCACGTTCATTTTGCTTACACAGCTGGTATGACTCAGTTGCCGCCCAACTTATTAACTTAATTTGTTTCAATTTTTTCCAGTGCTATCAACTTGTCATTAGAAGTACTTGGGACCCGATGAGATAATACCTTATCAATTTATACAGTTGTTTTTTTCCACAGTGTGAAACTTTTCTCTCGGTTATTTTCAAAAAGAAAAGAGGAAGTGCACATTCCAACCATTTCTATATGTGTCCTTAAGAAGAATAGTTAGGCTTAATAAGTCTTCTGTTTTGTTTTGCCACGGCACCTATATTCAAGCATGCTGCTTTAGCCAAAAACTAAGGTTATATCTTGTGGTCACATTTGTTTAAGATAATATGCAAGGAGTTTGCTCTTTGCTTTTATCTTGTTAAGCTTAAAACCATCACATTCAATGTCTTGTGTAAACCATAGCGATATGTAGTTACAGTTACAAGTTCACATCCAACATCCTGATTGCAAACTGGAGTTTGATAATGGGTTTATGTAGATGTGCTTTTGGAGTGGCGTGGTTTCTCTTTTGTGACTTTTTGACCAAATTTGCATATTTGTATAATGTTAAGCAGTTGCTTTGCAGGTTCTGAGTGGCATCCTCGTATTCGAACCGAACAAAATCACTTCATCTATCATGACCTGCCACGATTTATTATGGACTCCTATGAAGAAAGTCGTGATCCCCCACAACTGCATTTACTAGACAAGTATGATCACTTCTTTATCTTTGTTTACCATATTTCTCCTTGTTGATAATGAGTCGCAAGCTTGACAGTGCTGTTCTTCTTTCCATCCAGATTTGATACGGGGGGTCCTGGATCTTGTTTAAAGCGTTATTCAGATCCAACATTCTTCAAAAGAACATCAACCTCAGGGAAAGTAAGCTTAGAGAAGGTCCGGAGTGACAAAAAGGCTCAAAAGATTAAGGTATGCAGTGAAAAATCGAATTGTCTGTGTTACATGCATTTTCTCAGTCGGATGTACCTGCATATCTTTTCAAATAAGCGGTTAACTTTAAACTTCTTATTTATATGAAAGAAGTTAATGTATGAGTTATTTGTTGCCTCCACACCATTATCATCAATTATCAGCCTTTGGTAAGGCATTAACAACAGCAGGAATGTAGAGTCATAGTGTAATTTTATATTCTTGAAATCAAAACTTGGCTCCTTTATCTTCTCTTTTCATTTTTGCAAGTAAGTTTAATGCATCAGTTTTGCTGTTATGAATTAGACATTCTGACAAATTAAGTGACAATGCATAGAGAAAAAGATCATTGGTGCACAATGGAGAAGTGATACATGGTGCATCAGTTTCCAGTCTTAATAGCAGGTATACTTGCTAATGATTAACTTTGTAACGTTTCTTCTTTAATTGAATGAATCACTGACAACTAGATATGCAGCTTGCAGTTTACCTCCCTTACCAACCAAGGCGCTTCATTTTCTCAAACTGCTACAGCTGATACGACGATGAAATCAGATGCTGGGGACTCTTCAAATTCTTTTGATTCAGGTACCGGGTCAGGATATGCAGGAAACGTTTTGAAATTAGGTTCTTCCATGCAAACTAAAGAACGGGAATTTAGGGAATCTTCAAGTTCAAGTTTGATGCAATTTAGCGATGCTGTTGATTCAGTTGTCCCAGATGAACAAAGGAGGATTGTAGATGATAAATTTCAGTATGCACTAGAGGATCAAAACGATTTGAGTTTCTCTTCTCATGTCACATGGGACGAAAAGGCAGAAATAGTGAAGCCCAGGAGTCAGCATGGTGTTAGTGAGAAGGCAGAAATAGTGTGGTCCAGAGATCAACAGGATGTTAGAGAAATGGCAGAAATAGTGCAGCCAAGAACTCAACAGGATGTTAGAAA